CTGCTATTTATTTATTCGTTTCGATGGTAAATCAATACTGGCATTGTCAGGAAGTCAGATCCGCTCTTGATCTGCTTCTGAACAGCTCTCGAAAGAGATAAATAGCAGGTAAGCACCAGAGTCGAAATCTCACTGAAGCATTGGTGATGTCGTAATCCCGACCTTCCTCACGACAGTAGCTCTAATATTTCCGATTGCATTTACCTCATAGGATACGGAGAGGATTCTGACTTTTTTTGGCAACATGCATGATTTTTATAAAAATTTTGTTGATAACTAGCTCCCCGAACGCTACCGTTTTGGTCTGTGTGAGGTGCTGATACCAAGTTTCATGTGTAATTTAGTGATTATTATAAAGTAAGATAGCTACATCGTAGTGATATCATATTCCGAAGTTTGCTTCGGAAATGACATGCTACTGTTTTTTGGCTTATTTTTTCAGGATGGTGCAAACATTTACAACAGATATTGAGCGATCAATCGAGGGATCATCTGCAAAAGCCGTGAGCACAAATGAGCTGTCAGGCGGTGCACGTATCAATCGGCTTTTCCACGAAAGATTTCCGTTCGAGATTGTGAAAATGGAAATTGACGAAAAGGTAGATTCTCAAACATTATTGGGCCCTGTACAGGGCTGGCAAGAATCTAAAATAAGCATTTTTAAAGCTAAGAATTTGGCATAATTACGTTTGCGCGAGCTTCATCCTAGCAAAATCAGAAGATTGGGTTTGTTTCTTTTGTGACTTTTGTTGAGGAAGCATTGCCTGAACCTAAACTCTCAGTATCGCAGGAAGTTTACCCCCGTAGAGTTGTTAAAGGTGCATTTGGCATTAGAATAGTGTTGCAAACGAAACAGAAGCTGAGGTCTCTTTAAAATTATGCTGTTGGGCAATCAACACAACCCCCTTCCCTCTCTCAAATCGTGCTTCGGCGCGCCCTCCACTCCATCCCCGAGTCTTATACCGTAAATCTCTCCGAAAGAAGTTTGAAGCACGGCCGAATCTGAGGATGCTCCAACCAAGCGTTGACCGTCGCGAAAGAACAGTTACCCCCACCATGTCAGCTGTCTGTGACTTCTGGCATAATATAACTCGTGTTTTTTCTCTTTTTGGTTTCCTTGAGCACTGACAAGTGGCACCCAATACGCTATTACTCCCGAATTTTTGATTTTTGTGTGAGATTCTGAGATGAGAAAGCAATTGTAGTTTGTACAACATATGCACTTCTGTTTTCCTCGTCCTAAAATTGACAAGAAGCAAAAAAGCGGAAGTTGCAAACGATTAGGATTTTCGCAGTTCTGTCCCAAATCCACAAACGAATGCAAACTGCTCTGCCTGATCAATTGAGCCTAGTCGCAGTGGCATGACACTACTGGGGTGGCTTACAGTCACGCGATTGATTACTGCCTGTAGCGCGAGATCTTTAGCGCTAATTAGATGATCACAGAACGAGAGGACCGATTTTTGCATACACATCCCTCAAAAATTATTTGCATAACACCAGCCGTCAGGTTCTTCCCGTTACTAGCTTATGATATATCACGCATGTGAGCAACATTTTTTCTTTTAAATTTCAGGAAATGAGGCGCGAAATACAAATTGCAATCCGGAACATTCACGGTATCCGTGTGGGCCTCTTCACTCCCGATATGGCATTCGAAGCAATCGTGAAGAAGCAGATCGAACGCCTCAAGGAACCGTCACTGAAATGTGTCGATTTAGTGGTCAACGAACTAGCTGCAGTTATACGGCAGTGCGCAGAATGCGTAAGTTCCAATGAGCATGAAGGTGGAAGGAAAGGCGGGTGTTTTGCTTTTTCTGCGACAAAAAGCTCGCTGCCCGTTCGCTGCTAAAAAAAAAATAATTGGCCATCGCACGGGCTGCCCGTGCGAAGATGCGTTTTTTGCAGAGTTCCCCG